GTTGGCTTTCTGGGCTGCAAAAGTAGTGCATATCTATGACTTCTTAGTTTGAAATATTTTGATGGGACTTGCTACAAAGTGAGTATGTCTGCATAGTCCCAAATCAGTGACATATATATTACAACACTGATATTATTTAAAATAGAGTATGTCACTTCCAATGTAAAGATATGTTTATCGGGCTCAGTGCCATGCACAGGAATCTAATTTTAAAACCATTGCTATCATAAATGACAGTAGCTGGTTATAATATAGAAAACCAGCTCTGTTGCCTCAGTTTTCAAACAAAGAAAAGAAAAGACATACAACAAAACCTCACTGCATCAAAAATAAAACATAGCTAAAAATATTCAATATAGATTCTCCAAAAATTATCCATCAAGAATTAGATTAGCAAAAACAAAAACAAAACAAAATATCAATGTCAAAGAAAAACTTAAACAAGCTTTAGATGTAGGGGATGAGGAGTACTTATATTTTAAAAAAAAAAAAAAAAAGAAATTTATTTGTAAATCCCTAAAGCAAAGGTTTATAAATTTCTTTGTCTCAAGTGATAAGAACTTTGATTGTGCTGTGACTGATCCTCTCATTTATCTTGATTTAGCCTCTTACTTATTTTCTAAACATACAAAAGGTAACTATAAATAACAAGTTCAAGAGTCATCCAACTGCTGCCACACAATCTGAGCTGGAGTAGTAACTGCAAAGAGGGGACTTTGTCAAGCACAATTAAAGGTACACTATAAGAGGGAATAGTTGCGTGTGGGAATTCCAAAATGGAGTGGTAAGATACTTTCAATTCTTCAAACAGGTTTTATTTCCTTTAAACAAGCTCTGTTAGGAACTGTGACATACAGTCAGGGTTTTTTTTATATGTCATGACAAATATTAATAAATAACCTTTCCATTTGAACCAATGCCTTTGGTGTCTTTTTCAGTCCATCTCTGGCCTGTGACCAGTGGTTAGACTTTAACAGTTTGAATGGTATGTATGCATGCAAGTGTGCATGTGCACGTCCACGTATGAGCACAGGACCTGGGGCCTTCTCAGTGAAGGATCAGGAACTTTGGACTCATCTGCCACCATCTCCTGCATTCGGATTTTGTACCCTACCGAGGCGTCACCTCACCGCAGAGCATTGTCTGTCTGTCTTTGTAATGCCCATTCCCTTGGCATCAGAGCATGTCAGCAGTGGTAAAAAAGAGTTGCCATCATACCTCCACTTAGCTGTTAGTGTTATTCATTTCACAAGTGGCACTTTTGCTGTTTCTTTTCAACGAAGTCATTCACCTGCTGTGAGCCCAGCTTAGAAGTAAGAATGAATAATGCATTTCAGATTCGGCTCACGTTAATATAGATCTGAGACATATTTAGTTTTATAGAAAGAAGAGCTTTGATCTTGGCAGCAGTGAATTCTAAATGTTTATCAGTGTACATTTTTCACGATTTCTGAGTTGTGGCAGCATGCATTTATATGTATATATGCACAGCTCTGTTTTCTCAGCTGACAATAGCTTTCTATGTCCTTGCCTCTGATGGAACATTTCAGTATTGGGGAATCTCTTCTTTTCTTTTTTTTTGGTGCAGGTACTCTATTGTCCAGGGCATGCATTTAAAGAGACTGTTCAGCATCAATGAGCACAATGGAACAATCATTACAACTGAACCTCTGGACCGAGAGATAACTTCTTGGCACAACATAACTGTTACTGCCACAGAAACAAGTGAGTAAGAAATTTAAGGAACGCTGTGTTTTATGTACTGTGAACTATAATTATCCTCTGAATATGCCTTCTTTTAAGGGAAAAATACATGCTTCTTTCTCATTATATTACTATTGCTTGCTACATTAAGAAGTATTATTAAAATGATTAGTTAAATAGAAGTGGAATGTATTTGAGCTCCAAGGTCCTGTGCTCTTTCATAAAAGATGACCTTATAAAAAAAGAAAGGAAATTGTAATAAGATCGAGACTGTAACGCTTTCAAGTTACACTGAAGCATATGAATTGCTCCTGCAGTGCAAGATCTTATGTTAAATTAGACCCTGCTTAATTTCACACCACATTTTTGACTAGTGTGAAATTAGCCAGGGTCTAATTTAACACCAGTCAGAAACCTGTGGCTCATTAATTGTGAATATAAGGCCTAAATCAGACTTCTCTTCAGCGACAATTAAATCTGTGAAGCATCCTTTATATAGATTCCACCTGTCAGTTTGGTTTGAAAGTCAAATGCAATTTGCCTCTGTTTGTGCTTTTAGTGATCTAGTTGCTCTAACTCTGGGACAACACTCTAGAAAACTAACAGCTACTGATTTATAAAGCAGTTTAACAAGGTTATTGGGTTATTATCTAAAAACTAATCACATCCATCCTCAGGAAGATGAAAAAAGGAAGAAAAAAAAAAACCATATGAAACTGGAGCCCACTTGATAAATCAGACAGGTTTTGCTAAATAATTTTAGCATGTTCTTTTAAATCCTGAACCAAAATTAAATGCTATTTATTGCTAACAGTACGTTAAACACATACTCATAAATTGCACTGTGCCAAAAAGGGAGCATTCCCTGTTGGTATGTAGAATATTACTGCTAATTTAACATCAAGTAGTCAGTAGGCATTTTCTTTATTTTGTGTTTGAGAATTGATAGCATTTTCTTCCTTTTCAGCTTCTCTGTGAGTTTTTAAACATGAATGTATTTTACTTCTCATGTTGTTGGGCAGCTGGCAGGTGCTGGTAAAATTGATCTCCAGCATATTTCTGTCATGTCTTGAATAGTGCTATGGAAACACAGCAGGATGAGATTGGTCTGGACTTTTCTGGTTAGTTCAACAATAAAATTCAAAACCCCCAAATGTTACAAATGGATAAGTGTCTCCTGCAGCAAAAGAAAGGAAGTCATCCACAGTAATGAAAGTTACTGTAGAGACACCAAGCCCTTATTATCTTCATGTTCTTATTCTTCTTTAAGGATGATATGGTCACTGTCTATAACACTATATTCAAAATCATTGAAGACAGGTCACCTTGGTCTAGGCATACATGAAATGGTGTATATAATGAACTGGTAACATTTTATTTCTTGAAATACAGTTGTAGTGTGCACTATGTGTATGAGACATTTGGTGGATGACGTGGTTCCAACTGAAGCCAAAAAAAAATGCCATCCACACAAGATATTCATTGCCCCTGAGAGGGACAATGAAACTGCAATGCAACAGCAAAATCCCTGGAGGTCTATTGAGGTCCTGGCATTCAGAAGGGATACAAACCTTTTGCCTCCATTACAATGACCATTAAAGGTACCCAGAACAAGATCTAAACCATTAGACCTTACATGCAAGCCATTGGAACCTGCAATCTGTTGAGTTTAACAGTTTATGCCTAAACTGGTTTTAGCTCAAGTGAAATCAAGTTTCCTTTGATTAGTTTTTACTTGGTTGTAATCAGCTTCCACATAGGGCAAGGCTGGTGTAAACATGACTCTAACCATGCATGAGAACAAGAAATCCTTAAGTCGTTAGCTTATTTAACACAGATTTACTGAGCCGGATGAAGACTGAATGACAAGTAATTAATTTAGAAAGGGGTATCTGCTTCATCTTTCTCTCTCTTGAACTCTAGGTGACTAACAAAAATTCCCAATGATAACAACTGGCTTGAGCATACTTTGATCTTCTTTTCTCTATATGCTCTTTGGAGAAGTGCACTACCACTCATAAGCAAACTTACTGGCAAGAGAAAAGTCATCTTCCAACTGGGTTTGGCAGATGTTCTTTCATAGTAGGTTCCAGACCTACTCATGACTACATAACTTACAGCTCTTTGAAAGTTTCAGTCACAGATCATGTCACAAATTCAATATTTAATTGCCACCCTACTTTGGTCATAGAGGCTTTTGTTGACACACTAACTTTTTAGGTTAGTCCTTTTTAAAGAAATAAAAAAAAAAAATCATGTCCATTTCCTTTAGGAAGAAAAGAAATTTGCTTTAGCTTAAATTAAATTATATCAACTACTATTGTTATTATTACAGTTTCTATTACTACAATTTTCCTTTTACTGGCTGATTAGAATGTCAGTCTTTCTTTAATGCCCTGTAAGTATTAAGTTCTACATTATCTCTAGAGATGGTCAGTACTTTCCTTTTCACACAGCTCCAAAATAAGCAAGTTGCTAATTTTGGTGCCTAGTATTTAAAATATCAGCTTCATTCTTCACACTCATCAAGCCCATTGCACTTGATATCTTCTTCTCTCAGACCTTATTTTTCAAGTTCTGAGCTCTCTCAAGGAGATTATGACAAAGAAATTTTCTGCTCACTGAAAAAAATCTTTAGTTTACCGTAGGATATGGATACAATAGTTGTATTCAAATTCTGATAACTATTTCTCCGTGCCAGGGATAAAAGACAAAATAAGTATTGCCTACCATCACTCTGCTTCACCCCAAATCATCACTAAGTATTTACCAAACACCGATTCCAAGGGTGCTTTTGTTGTTGCTCTCTCAGAGAAAGAAACACCTGGGATTTCAGAAAAATTAAGAACTTCCATACTGTTAACTTCTAACAGAAACGTGAGAAATTATATTCTTTGCCACTAACCAGATGCTGATGAAGAAAAATAAAAAAAAAAAAAAAAAAACAGAAACAAATACAAAACAAACAAAAAAAACCAACCATAAACCCACAAAATAACCACAACACAACAAGCCAAATATAATAAGGGAGTAGAAACAAGAATATACCCAAAAATAAATAAAAAAGATGGGTTATTTGGTGAAAAAAAAAACAGATATGAAGGGCAGGTATAGGCTGAAAGGTGTTATCTGAATGTTTGTGCAAACAATGGGAAGGCTTTAAAGCCAGTATGCTGTGGATCTTATGACCTAGAAAGTTTGGAATAGGCCAAGGTGGCTAGGTCCTTCCCATGCCATTTTATATCCACCTAAAGCCACCAAAGGTATTCCTTGCCTCCTAGTTAGTGTTACATAGTTTTCCTTTTAGTGTGAATCCAGCTAAATCCCTGCCCTACACACCCATTTCTGACTTAAGTAAAAGAGGTTAACTAAGACCTACCCTGGTGGCATTATTTCTAAAAGTGTGTGCTATTTTTTACACATAATTGAAACATAAATTGAGCACTGTTTCATTGTCAATTGTATTTTGGATGGTGTGATTCAACAAGAGAAATGTCATCCCACAGACATTTTGGGATGACTCTGACAGTTCACAAGCTCTGGTATATTAGCATGACTCTAATGATTTCACACAAGAATAGCAGTGTGAAACTGCTGAGTTTCTAGCCCTTTATCTCTGTGGTAGTTGCTTTTGCTGCCATTTCCTTTGGCAAGAGACTCAAAGCTATCAGCACAGGTACCATAAGATCCAAGAAAACAAATGTTTGCTCCAAGCAACTAGTGAATTATACATTAAAAAAAGCAATGTAAGAATCGACCAAACCTGTACAGTTTGAAGTGAGGCAGAAAGGAGTATACCTTTTTGTTGGTGTCTTAAAGGTCCTTTGGACTATTTTAAGAAAATGCCTTAAGGACTTCTGAACAGGTCAGTAGTGGTGAAACTAGCACTCATCATGAGGCATGTTTTAACTACAATGTATATTCCTGTGAATGACATACTTCTGGTTTAGACAAAGTATATTGAGAGACTGATAGATATTTAGGTTAATAGATATTTAATATATCTGTAATGTCTGAAGGTTATTTTATTCACCAGAAAAAATATGTTCATTATGGTCATTAACCAAAAATAAGTCCAAGTTAATCTGAACATTACTGTTGTAGTGAAACTTCTTGCCTACTGGAGCAATAAATTACATTGTGGAGAAGGCAGGTATTTCTTAGAGCTATGCCATGTAAGTGAGAATTTGGTGTGCTGATAGATGGACTTCTGAGAGGTATCGGGCATAGAATCATGGAATTGTTTAGACTAGAAAAGATCTTCAAGATCATTGAGTCCAACTAGTGACATAGAACAGCCAAATCCACTGCTAAACCATGTCCCTAAGCACCACAGCTACACAGTCTTAAAATACCTCCAGGGATGGTGACTTAGCCACTTCCCTTGGCAGCCTGCTCCAGGGCTTGATAACCCTTCAGTAACAAGTTTTTCCTAAAGTCCAACCTAAACCTTCCCTGCCACAACCTGAGGCCATTTCATCTTGTCCTATCCTTTGTTACTTGGGAGAAGAGACTGACCCCCACCTCTCTACAGCCTCCTTTCAGGTAGTTATAGAGAGTGGTAAGGTCTCCCCTGAGCCTCCTTTCCTCCAGGCTAAACAACCCCAGTTCCCTCAGGCACTCCTCAGAAGACCTGTACTCCATACCCCTCACCTTTTTCATTCCCTTTCTGTGGACATGCTCCAGAGGCTCAGTGTCTTTCTTGGAGTGAGAGACTCAAAAATGAACCCAGTATTCAAGATGAAGTTTCACCAGTGCCATGTACAGGGGGATGATCACTTCCCTTGTCCTGCTGACCACACTATTTCTCATACAAGCCAGGATACTATTTGCCCTTTTGGCCACACTGCTGGCTCATATTCAGCCATCTATCTACCAACACTTCCGAGTCCTTTTCTTCCAGGCAGATTTCTAACCACTCTTCCCCAAGCCTATAACTTTGCATGGGGTTGTTGTGACCTAAATACAGGACCCAGCACTCGACCTTGTTGAACCTCAGTACCGTTGGCCTAGGTCCACTGATCCAGCCTGTACAGATCCCTCTGTAGACCCTCCTTATCTTCAAGCAGGTCAATACCCATGCCCAACATGGTGTTGTCTGCAAACTTAGTGAGGATGCCCTCAATCCCTGCATGCAGATCACTGATAAAGACATTAAACAGGACTGGCCTAAATGCTGAGCCCTGGGGAACACCACTTGTGACTGGCTGTCAGCTGGGTTTAGTTCCATTCACCACTACTCTTTGGGCCTGGCCATATGACCAATTTCTCACCCAGTGAAACATGCCCACCCAAGTCACATGCAGCCAGTATTTCCAGGAGAACTGTACCTGTAGATCTTCCTTCCCTTGGTTCGGGTGACATATTTATAAACATTTTTATTACATAAACCAATAGTTTTTTCAGCTTAGTCTACACACAACTTTTGTACTGTGAAAATAGTATAGTTAGGTCTGGCTATTCATTGTCTGAGGTAGTTAAAGCAATATAACCTTGTGTAAATGCGATAAATGTAGGGGGAAATTGCCTTATATTAGCAGAGTTTATTTTCTTTTTCATACCAGAATGAGCCATACTGACATAGCTTTTATATCTAAAGCCACACTAATGAAGTGGCTTTAGAAATATACAGTAATAAAGTATACTTGTACAAGAGAAGCAGTACAGCTTCTGTGAGTACAAAATGCCTAAGAGTTAAACCTGGTATGCAAATAGTACTTGGAACAAAACTATAAGCTCAGACTGTGATGTCTGTCAGCAGTAATGCCTTAGACATGCCTGGGCAAAAATCAGACTTCTTTGCAAATATGTGTTTGGAGGCCAGTGGATAGAACAGCTCTCTTGTTCCAAGTTCAAAGTCTCAGCTTTCTGCTTTGCCTAGGGTTAAATATCAATTTTTGCTGCAATTGCTCCATGTTTAGGTGTGGCAGAAATATTTTTAAAACATATGAATTTTTAAAGCGTGTGAACTTTGGTGACATTTTCTCCCAAAACTTCAAAATACTGAGGAAGCGTAACAGAATTTCTTAAAAGACTGTGACCAGTCGTTGTGGTATCCATGGTGTGAAGTGATGTCAGACAGCACAGGAACCTCCTCCAGCCACTCTGGCCCAGGAACCTCCTGCCCAGCCCCTGGAGCCCAGCTAGGTGCCCAAGGACCTGAGTCCAGCTTAAAATCTGCTAGTGAAAACACACTCCCCACACACATTGAGCCTGGAGAAGATACAGATGCTTGTCTCCTGTGCCCTCCACTCATTTCAGTAGCTGACATCACAGGCTGGGGATTCCCACACCCCAATCTGACTCCAGTAGCTGTCGCCAGTTTTCACCCCCAGGTACGTGGGTCTCACCAGTAGCTGGTATGTAGCCCCTGCAGCACACAGACGTGCAGTGAGAGTGAGATTATGCAGAGAATCATAGAATAGTTTGGATTGGAAGGGACTTTTAAAGGTCATCTAGTCCAAACTCCCTACAATGAGCAGGGATATCTGCAACTAGTGCAGGCTGCTCAGAGAGACAGCTAGGAAAAGATTCAATAAGAAGGGTGCAGGGCTCACCCAGACAAGCATTCTGACTGGCCCCTTTCATACCCCTTTCTGTCTGCCCCCTCTTTGTTCCTCCCTGCACACCCCCCATCGATTCCCACACCCCTCCAGGTCTGGGGTCCCTCTAGTTTATAAAATCTGGATTGGTCTATCTGGAATTTTTGCCCTGTGGTGTCTGGATAGTCCGTCAATTGTCATCTGTTTTTTTGTCATTGTCTCTGTTTGCTTTGCCAGGTCTGTCTTGGTACATTTTGTTTCTGTTTTCCCCCCTTTTCTCCCTTGGTTTCCCAACTGACAAGGTCCCTTATCTAACAACCTTGCAGGAATAAACTTTCTTACACTCTCACATTCCCCCATCAATTAGTTTGTTGGGTCAGGTTTGGTTCTCATCACCCCCTCTCTTACCATTTGTTCCTCAGGTTTGTATCCCTGAATGTTCTTGTTTATGTCTTCCTCCTTTTCCTATTAATTCATATTGCATTGAATAAGGTCCTTGACCACATACCCTTACAGGAACAGAAACTCTCCTTCTACATACCCTTACACATAACTAGTACAGTAAATTGTTCTGAGAGTATAAAATATTTAATTTCTCCAGATTAGATTTCACTTTTTACAATTTACATCACTTTTTGACTTGGTAAATGAAAGAGTGAGCAAATTCAAAAATTTACATGAAATGTGCTTATGTATGTAAAGATATAGTATATTTAATATATTTATATTAAATATTTAATAAACCAAAACCCCACCTGTTTTTATACCTTTTGTAAACAGAACCCCAGCAAAGAAAAAAATGCTTATTTTCATATCTCTAGGATATATTTGAACTCATTAAAAAGATTTAGTATAAAATGTGTCTGCAGGTCTCAGTGTCTTCTTCTCTGCAGAATAGAAGTAAGATTTTCTGATGCCTACATCAGTTTAAAATATATTGCAGATTATAACTTCTGATTCCTGTCTTTTTTTAAATATTAGGAAATCCTGAAAAAATTTCAGAAGCAAATGTATATATCCGAGTTCTTGATGTTAATGATCATGCACCAGAATTCCCTAAATATTATGAAACATATGTTTGTGAAAATGCAGTTTCTGGCCAGGTAAGTGTGAAGGAGTTAGCTATCAGCTTTCTCATTACACTGAAGATTTGGTCTGAGAAGTTACTATGTCCTTTAACACTGATTATTTCAGTACTATGAGTACAAGCTGTATTTGCTTATTTCCAAAATCAGTTCTGTTGATATATGTATACATTGAAATTTAGATTTCAGAAGACTGATGTGTATTTTTTCCCCCTTTAAAACAAAATCAATCCATCTCTTTGTTTGTCTACTAAAACAGGTAATAGAAGAAAAACAGTCAGAAAATTCTGGGGAAAAAAAATTGAAACAAAGAGTATAACCCATAGATTTGATTCAGCTTAATGCCACAGAAGTTAAAACTAGCTGTACTATTTACAGCAACAGCATAAGAGTCCAGAAGAACCAGACCTAGATCAGATTCAAACCAGATTCATTATGTTCTTTGGTTAAAAATCATCATTTGTGAACTGGATTCAAACCCTGTCTAGCTCAGTGGAAATCTTTGTTACACCTTTGCAACACCTTCCCTAGCTGGCAGCATATGAGATTGTCATATTAAGCATCTTTCCCTGGAGGCTTTTTTTCATTTCCTACTCACTCCTGAAGCCAATGGGGTCACATCAGTTGGCTGCCCTAACCCATCAGGTACACTGCTGACTCTCCATTTTTCTCCACCCACTTTCCTCTGCAGCTTTATTTCAGCTTTTTTAAGTGACCTGGGTCTATTATCCATCAAGGATTAGGGCTGGGTCAGCCACTAGACAAATGACAGACACTCTCTATTAACCCCTCTCCCTGCCCAAAGGGGAAGAGAAAGGGAATAAGGGCAAGAGATTTATGGACTAGAAAAAGAAAAAAAATTTAGAAAAAAAACCCCAAAACTTAAAATAGCTTTAAAGAAAACAGTAACAATAAAATTAATTATATACCAACATCAAACCCACTCCCCCTCCTGATAACTATGTCACTGATGCTGTAGGCAGGCGTGGGGAAGTCCCAGACTGGAGTTAGGAGCAGATGGGAACTGAATTCAGGAGCCGAGTCCTGGAACTAGATTCAGGAACACATAGACTGGGTTTGAAGGCAGAATGGACAGAGTCTTTCTTGGACATCAGTCATTGAAGAAGATGGCTTGATCCTTATGACCCCTCAGCTTTATACTGAATATGAGATGGAATCCCTCCTTGGTCAGTATGGGGTTACCTCTGCTGGCAACTCCTCCCACAGGTGCTTCTGCACCTCCAATATGGCTCACAACATTTAGCAGTGACTTGGTCTGCCCAGGAAGAAGTATGAGGAGGAACCTTTCTGCACATACCAACCCTTGGTAGCAACTATAAACACCAAGGGTTTATAAAAACTTCTAAAAGCAGACACTGTAGAAATGTGCCATTTACTTCAGAATGTCCAGCTACTTAGAAGAGAATGAGCTGAAAATTAAAATCACCGAGCAGAATTAGTTCTGTTCTAGCTCAAAACAGGACACAACCCAAGACCTAAGCTGTGCAGTAAATGTGCTGTCAACCTCCACACTGCAGTTGAAAACTACAAAACCAAGATATTTAAAGTTAAAATAACAAAACAGGTACAAAATAAGCAACAAAGAAAGCAACATTAAAAAGTTATAGACAGAAAAATCTATAGTTTTTTCACCAGTTTAAAGAATTCTTTGGACACACAAAAGAGACCTTTGGGATATTTGTGATGTTTCTGTTCAAATGTTTTGCTTTTTTTTAGTTCTGAATCACAAAGTCTTTCTTTTTATACTAGCTTGGTTTGCTTTGACCTTGATTAGTTTGCAGTTAAATAAAGGTTTCTTTGTAGGAAAAGTAATATATATATATACACACATATATATATATTTTATTTTATTTTTTTTTTAATCCACTTATTTATTTTTCTATCAGCAGTTGGTTTGTTTGTTCTGCACTTGGAACTCTTCCAGGCTGCAGAGGCCACCTCTTCTTTAGACGTACTTGGAGCAAAACATTTCCTTTGAGTTTTGGGTAACTCAGTGACAGATCAAAGCCCAGGCATTAAAGCAAATGCCACTTCATGTTCCTTGTGTTCAACACACCATGAATTAAAAACAGACACGTATGAAATGGATATTTGTAATCCATGTTTTGGACTTCCCTACAGTGTCCCAAGGTTGTTTTTTTATAGTTTCTTGCTGGTAAATAACATCTGCAAGCTAGCCCGTTAATGGCTACTATTCACTAACAAATTGAGTATATGCATTTTAAGTATTTTGAGAATCACCAGAGAAAAATCACACTGTAAAGACTAGTAGAAGTAACAATAATGATATTTTAAGCATAGAATATATAAATTCATTAAAAAAATCCTGTTTAACATTTTAATATCTGAACGAGAAATAAGCAAGACATTTTTTCTATTTTATAGACAGGGAAAATATTACTCTAGATTTTTTTCTTTCCTGCTTTTTCTTTGTTGTTGCTACAGGCTTTTGAGAGTCAGAGGCATCTTTAGTCCAGTCTTTAGAGACGATGACAGTAACGTTAAATAATCTTCTCATTTACAACTAATCTAGGAAGAACAACAGGAAATTGCTATTAAAGTGCATAATTGTCACAGTCAAGCCTTATGGTATTTTATTCAACATCTGTGATTTAAAACAGAATTGGTAGCTGTTGTATCTCCTTCAGTGCTGCTATATTTTTATTTTGTTTTTACTTTTTATTCACATTTAAAAAAAAAGTTCTTTATTTTCATTAGCAAGAAGCCAAAAGTTCAAAAATTATTTTATAGATAACCAGGATGTCCACCAAATAACAGAATCTACATTTCAGAAGAATGAGTTTAAGCAGTTGAAGGACTTAATCAGGACATCACATACCTTTTTATCTTAGCCATATTTCTGGAATCAATTCCAAGCAGCTCAGGAATCTACTTACATGTTATAAGTGGAGATCAAAGCTTGTATAGCTATTCTATTGCATTTCAATTTCTAAAGTAGTTATCTCTATCCATCTAGCTGGAAACAATATGCTGAGAGATATTCTCAGAGATGTTCTGCACCTCTGGAATTCACTTGCTTCCCTGATCTCAGCTGAGATATGTCTACTTTCATGGGCTACTCTGAAATCTATTTGCATCTTCCAGCTTATAGTGTTTGGGAGAAAGGAAGGAAAAGCACTGCAGAGGGAAAGATACTGTTTTATTTGGATTACTTTTTCTTGGTGTCTGTGTTACAATAAAAACAACATAGAGTCTTGTAGCTGATAAGATTTTTACACTTAGAGTATACGAGGCCATGATAAAGAATGTGAAACACATAATGAATAAAACTAATTGTTATCCTAACTATCCAAACTCAGAGGCAGTTAATGGTAGATTGAACTTAGAAAAGAATTCTTGGTTTCAAGCTTTAGATTTTTTTTAAAAAATAAAATGTTTGCTTTTGTTCAATGAGTATTGACTTTCATGTCCCTATATGGTGGTTTTGTGAGAGTTAGACACATTTAGCTTGGCCTTTGGAAGACATTAAAAAAAAAAAAAAAGGCATTACATTTTGGTCTGTGGGACTACAATTTGAAATTTGACAATAAAAATGGAAGAAAAAATATGGGGATTTTTTTGTCATTCTAAATCAGTTCATCATATTAATCAGACAGCTTGAATGGATTTCTCACTATCCATTTCATGTTACAGGTTTGTACTCTCCAAGTCAGCTGTATAACCACAAATAAATCTTTTTGCACATTGAAAAACTAATTTCACTACACCATCAGTATTAAATATATTATTTTTCAAGATGCTCAAACATGAAAGCTGCTGTATAAAACAGACTTCTATCATACTAGATCTATAGCTAGTATCAGATCAAAGAGAAAAATATTCATAAGGCATCCAAAACCAGCATTCTCTTTTGATTGGATATTTTTACTTTATAACTGTACGCAGACATGGTAAACTATGAGCACAAAAGGTTATTAATTCCTTATAGTTACCCTTTATGTGTTTGCACAGCAGCTACAAGCTGTTGAATTCTAGAGGCAATATTCTATCAAAATAATCTGGACATAAAATGGACCAAATCTGTCTCAAAGGTAACACTACTAGAGCTGTCCCATCAAGAATGGATTTCACCCAGAAAGCTTAATTCCCAAGGCATTAATAAATTAACTCATCCTGAAATTTAAATTTGAAAGTTTGAAGTAAGCTATGATGTCTTACATCGTAGGTAAGCTAACTGACCATCTAGAATTTTTATGCACAGTAATTTCAGTCCTTTTTGTGGATATTGGTCTTTCTTCATACTGTGCAAGAAACAGGTTTCAGCTGAAGACAATCAGCTCTGGATACACCTACATTCTGAATTAAAGCTGTCTTCTCTAATTCATATTTATTCTGGCAGTTCTAAGATCCTGTAATTTGGGGATCACATGTGAAGTTATTTTGATGTTGCAGCTTGCTTAGTGGTTTTTATTTGCTCCAAAGTGACTGCCTATGCAGAGTACTTTTGGCTAGAGATAAAAAAGCTAAATTTATTTACTTGGTGCTTAGTATATAACAAAACAATCATCAGTTTCTGTGAAAATGAAGAGTGCTTGTTTCATATTACTTCTCTACATAATGAATCGTTGGCAGAAGAAAAGATGGAAAAATCTTTAAGTTCTAAGGGTATAGGATTCATATCGACAATAAGCAGTTTGCTAAAACAGATCCTTTCTAACAAACCAAGATCTAAAAAGATATTTGATAGCAGAGAAGTGAAAGTAATATGTTAGTAAACCAATGTTCATTATTTCACCTTGCTACGCTCTCTTCATCATTTACAAAAAGCATCTGGGCAATAGTGATAAGAAAATAAAAATTAAAAAAAGAAAAGAAAAACAATGAGGACATCTCTTAGAGTATAAAATCATAGTGAAGTTGTGAAAGCACAATATAGTCTAGCAGCCACTTATTCTAAACTGCATCTGAAGCTGCACTGAGTGTAACTTTTCACATTTTTAAACAGTGGGCACAGTAGCCCATGGAAAATTCTTTTTTCTGTTTTATACAGGCTGTGATTCAACAACATTACCTGAAAGCACAATGGAACAGATAAGAAGAGTTCATCAGCATATATAAATAGACATAAAAAGGCACCTCAGTGTCATGGCATGAGCTTTATAATTACTCCTTCGCTAAGATGAATAGCATTTTATTTATAGCTGAGCAGAAACATCTTGCAGTAGACACAGAGAAACTAGATCAATATTTTGCCAACTTGCTTTTCAGAAAAGAATAAGCAGCAGTCAAAAAAGAGAACCTTGGTCCTAAGGGAGAAGCTCTACTTTGAAAATTGAGGTGTTGACTGTAGTAATGAACATTTTCATCTTTTACCTGCACTAGACTCTGATGGTCATTAAACATTATCAAGCAATGAGAAAAATCCAACTACTTGTAAGTCTTCTGCAAATGTGAAGAAAACGAGTTCTGTACTCTCAAAGCAGCTGGGTGATCAGATCTCTGACATCCCATAAAACACAACCGAGCTCCTTTTGAAGGCTGCTGAGTGGAAAACAAAAAAGAAACTGAAGTAGAAAGGCAATGATGGCAAAACTGTTCCTACTGCCTTCCAGCTGTCTAGTGGGAATGGTAGGAATATAGTTGGGTATAGGAACATACTCAAAGGACTCCAAATTGCACACTTTGAGTTTTCTAGCATCAAAATTAATGATACTAATGATGATTGTTTAGGACTGTCTATCCCTTAAGCTGAACTTGGTGGAGAGGAAGCTCTCCGAGGCAGAAAGAACTGTAACATAGACGCTTTCTTCTTCCTCCTGGATACCTCCATAGTTCAAATTCAAGACAACAAACAACACTGAGCTAGACATTCAATTCAGAATGGTTTACAGAAATTCCTTTTTATAAAAAAAATTAATTGATGAGAGATCAGAGCTGTTACTGGTATCTTAGACTCTCCCCAATGATATTTCTTAGTTGAAAAATCAGATGGATGAGGAAGATGAATATAGAAAGACATTTTTGTGACCTTTGATGAAAGGAGCCCTTGTTGTACCTGGCAGTGATCTCAGTCAGTTTGGAATGAAACAGTAACTGAAGCTCACCTGCCATGAACTTAAACCAGTTTTTCAAGGAAAATTAAGCTAATTAATCTCAGAAATGCATATTTTCAAATGAACTGCTGGATTATTAAAGCTTTTAGATTAATGAGACTTGAAATAAGTTTTACAGCAATTAAATTTCATCCTAGTCAATACAATAACTGCTACAACCTCACAGAATGAACAGAGCATTCACTGTATTTTCTTTGCACACTAGAATGTAGGGGTTTTAAACCTTGTCTCACAAACTAGAAGTGCAATTTTTCAGTCTGCGATGCCAGTTTCCTTGGTGAAAGGCTGGAATATCCTAAGTTAAATGTACAAAAGCCTAGGAAACTAGAGAAAAAAAGAAACAGTTTCCTTCTCTCTGGGTGTTTTTTCCTTTAGAGTCAGCAGAATCGGAGCTGCCTATTGCTCTCTGAATATTTTATGGAATCATCTGGGTTTTGCTGAATCGCAGTGGAAGTGATATAGTGAGAAATAAATAAGGGTTTGCCCTGTACTTATGTTCCAAATATTCCCCTGCTTCTAGGGTGAATCCTTAAAGGCATGTGAATATGCCTAGAATAACCAAGGGAGTCAGGTTTGTGTGGAAGAGCACAGCAGAGATCAAAACAAGGGAAGGCAGGGTGGTTTTTTTTCAGTTAAGCAAATAGAGAGTTATAATGAAAGCATCAGATATAGATAAAATTTATACAGACAAATACTTTCTGTATGTAAAATAGCAATGTCAGTAATGAAATAGCAAACCTGTATCTAATTCATAACAATAATTTCATGATTTTTAGACAATGAAAGACCTCCTATAAACATACATTCTAAAGATATTGCTGATACCTGGTTAAATAACTATTAATCTGAATTAAAAAATGGAAACATAAAAATCACATCTATTATTAAAGGGTTTTTTTTTGACTTTTTTTTTGGTAGATGAGTAGATAATTCTTCTCTGCCAAGTGACTAAATTAAAAAAAAAAAATAAAGAAACAAGATGTTGCTAAGATCTCTTTGTAGGTTATTGTATTACTCTGCACAGTCAGTCTGGCTTGGTAGATCACGGACTGTATAGAGACCTACCTCCACACAAAGCTTTTTTCTCAGCTGCAGCGATGGAAATTTTGTTAGCAAATCACCAGCAAAGGCCAGCAGTGTCTTTTTTTCAATTCTTTCAGGTATATGGCAGAACATGGCCATGAAAACATGCTGTTGTTCATGTTTTAGACTGGATATATAGTTTTGTTCTCTACTGCTGTTCACATTGAGCGTATTCTGAGAACTATATTCCCTTATAAAAATGAATTATTAGGTAGTATTAGTGATTAGTTATTGCCCCTGACTGATTTCTGGACTCATATGCCTATACCTGTATTTGCATCACCTTAGCTGTTTTCCCTGTTCTAAGGAATGGAAAAAAATGTTCCTCAAGAAATTTTATCCTCTGTACTCTGTCACTAAGTATATCACTCATCTCATTAGTGGCAATAAAATAGGCTTGCATCAGTTTGCTTTCCTCTTGGTCAGTGAGCATACATACTAATCTATGCTGATGCCCAGGCCATTCAGTATTTACTGATAAATGTAACAAACATAAGCTCATTTAAGCAGCAATATTGTTAATAATATTAATTATATTGTGATTTTTTTTTTTTAACTATAGAGACAAAAGCTGTTCTTTTGATTGATAACTGTTATTTTTTATTTTGCCTTGCAATGACTATTTGGTTTGACATATTTGTAGATGAAAGCTATTCTGCTTTCTTGACAAAAAGCAGCCAAGAAGTTCTATAATCAATCTGTTACAATATCCAGAATCAACCATTCAGTACGTGAACTTGTCGCCATATCACACCTACTGGAGCTACAATATATCAGCTGAATGATGTCAATATGTTTGTGGGCTGGAAGGAAGTGGGGTTTGCATAAAGGGATTTGATCAAATGTACAATGATACACTTTCCACCTTGGAAAAAAAAGATAGATATATAGATATAGTGTTTTGTCCATCTCATATATATATATATATATGATTACTTTTTCATTTACAGAAACTTCAGATACCCCTTGTCTTTTGATCCAGAAACTTTTATACATGTACTCAGGATTTCAATGATTGTCTCTCTCAGATTAAAAAAAACAAACAGAATATTTGCAGAACATGTGTCTCAATGAGACTAAATATAGGTGGTATATACTTGTGACTGCACAGCATGCACTCCATATATATTCACAGGTCACAGCTCTAGCATCAACAGTTTAACATGCTTCATATGTCCTTTTAGTGTTTTAAAGGACAAGTGAATACTTTTATTCTTAAACAATTTTGTTTATTTTTATTTCCAGCTAATTCAAAGCATCAGTGCAGTGGATCAAGATGACTCAGAAGAAGGTCACCATTTTTATTTCTCATTGGCTCAGGAAGCTGTGAACAACTCACATTTTACTGTAAAAGATAATCAAGGTAGGGTTATTCATGCAGCTCTTTAAGACCTTCCCAGTAAAAGATGCATGCCTTTAGTGGTCCTCACATCACCAATTTTATAAAACCTTCCACTTATTTAGAAATTGTTGTTATAAGATACAAACATTTCAAAACCACTAATTTGGTAGCACTTAAACAGTTCATTTTCCTTTTTCTGCCAAGCAACACAAACAAAGTACAGGTTTATTTCAAGGAAAGACAAAATGCTGATATTAAAAAAGAAAAAAAAAAAGGAATACCAGTGTATTTCTCTTTTTTAAGTGTAGGATATGCTGGGAAATATCAGCTTTCTTGTTAAAATTATCTATTTGTCTAAAGAAACAAAATTGCCAGTAAGAGATTCTTCACCACTTCAGCAAAACCAAAATAACCACTGACAATTATTCATATAATCTTGTTTCTTAATATATTTTAAACTGCATATTTTGATTAATGATGACATCATAAAATGTATTCCATATATATTTTAATGTTATTCAGAAGCATTGATGGGACTCTCAAAGAGTGATATAAAAGGATATCAAGCACAAGCACTGTGAGGTGAAAATGTCAGTGCAATATCTGGTGGAAGTACAGGGAGGACGACCACTTAAACTCAGTCTGCTGAGACTACAAAAATTGCTTCTTCAGACTCAGCTAAAGTACACATTGCTCTTATTGACTTTGCTAATTATTTGAATGTCCTGGCTAGGTGAATAAATCAATGCAAAGAAGTTTTAGAAAGTTCAGACTACGTTAACCAGCAAACTACTTCTCTCAATATCACCAGAGTTCCAGTTCATGTATTAATATGCGTTTCAGTTCCCAGCTTCATCAACTTCTCACTCAGTGCCAGGAAGAAATAACTTGTTACATTAAGGTCAAACTGCACACAAACCATCAGCCTTTCCCACCTTTGCTCATGCTGCTCAAAGGCTGGGCAGAGTCATGCACTAAGCAATACATCCAGTTCCTTTTGGTGATTATAGATAGAGGGAAAAAAAAATCTCAACTTTTACTACACGGTAGGGTCATCCCTCATTATCTGCCTATCTGCTGCATTTCACAGAAATGGTTGGGTGACTGGGGATAGCTCTAGGCAAAAGCAACACTGAGTCTACAGATCTGGAGCATTTTATCTTAGAGTTATCTTCTGGATTATGACAGAAACCTAAAAGAATTTAAATATGAGGGAGCTAACCTCAGTACACTGTTTGGGTAGATGTATTTTCTGCTGACCACTAAAATAGAATGATATTATCATTAACAGGCAGAGCAGCAGCCAAACTCTTCCATCCACCACATCACACACCAGATATCCAAAGTGCCAGACAACCAGAGGAGGAACAAGTCAATGCACTCACCCACCACAGGGGACATAGAGAAGGGAGTGATCCAGGCAAGGAGCCAAGCCATGGGAGATGAGAGCAGAAAGAGAATGAGCCCAGGGACAGAGCAGGGACTCAGAAACAGCTTCATGTGCTGGCTCTGCCATCCTGGGAACTCCACTTTCTGTGAAGAATCAGAGAACCCTTTCAAATCAGAATCCTCACACAACACATACACTATATACAGAATCCTCCCAACCCTACTGCAAGCAAAATCAGCTCTTATAGAGGTGGCTTCTTGCCCCACCTCCAAGTCAATGTGGCAGGTGGGGGCACCTGGTGGTGATCTCCTCATCAGTTCCCACCCAAGGCTGGCCAGACCCTGGGTGAAAACCAGTCAGAAGGGTCTTTCTATAGATGGTTGTGGACATCACCCATCTGCCAACCCTCATTCAGGGCTGGGGGTTTAACCCCAACACTTCAATGTATCACACAGACAATACTAGAAACACTTTATTTTTCTATCTACATTCATGCACACATGCAATAGTTCACCCTGTCAGGATAAAAAATTCTGACATGAAAGCGTTTATAGATGTTTCAAGATTCAGATAGGGCTAATTTTTGTCTTGTGCAGAATTGATATCTAAACACTAATAGTTAAATAGGAAGCAAAGGGAGAGCCTCTAGCAACTTTCCCCTAATTTAGACAGTAGGAACTCAGCTAGTTCCAGTTTTTGAGTCAGGAAAAGAAATAAAAGCCTGTTTTAGTGGATTTTTTTCTTACTTTCTCTTCTTTCTCCTGCCACCTGCTTTTCCTGTGTGCTGCCAGACACATCCTAGAAGCCTTTTGATTGGTAAACTGTCTATATCTCATCTGTGAACTGATGGATTAGTAGCAGCTGGTTACATGGAACTGTTTTAAGGACCAATTAGTTAGGCTGAGCAGGTGGCAGGTACTGAACACGGTGGGATTTTTTCTAGCTCTGAACATTAAAAACAGAGCTCCTATGTCAAATTTTAGTATTTCCCCTGGAATACATATGTCAGTATAAAATGTGATTATTCACTATTGACTCACCACAAGAAAACTTACCACATGTCAGTGCCTGGTTTTATTTTTTTTTAACTTTGCAAATATATATCTTTGCATGGTACCATTGTTTTTAAATAGATCAAATTCCACTAGAGCTCTACTGTTGTTAAAAATTGATAAATCTGTATCATGCATAATTATCTCCTAGATAACACAGCTGGAATTTTCACAGCAAAAAGTGGCTTCAGGATGCAAGAGCAGTATTCTTTCTACTTGCCCATCTTAATTATGGATAATGGAACCCCACCCCTGACCAGCACAAATACTCTCACCATCACTGTCTGCAACTGTGACACCGAAGTTAAGGTCTTCTACTGTCGATATGGAGCTTTTCTCTATGCCATGGGCCTCAGCACAGAAGCTTTAGTTGCTATTTTGGCTTGTATATTAATACTCCTGGGTAAGTATGAGTAAGAGAAATTACCTTGTTTCCTTTTACAGTAGGCTTGATAAAGTGACCAATGTGCTCCCTTGACTGGAAGCCTGTAAGTTCTATTGAGAAAAAAATGCAAGAGGGCAAAAGTTTAATTTCTTTTGTTTTCGAACTATAATATGTGCCCCTCAGTTTTCAGTAAAATCTGAATTCTAACACAATGTCCTAAAAGTTGGCGTTAGTTGAGTCACGATCCTACTTGTCTGTATTGGTCCAAAATCTGTATTGAGTCCAGCTAAAGCTGAAGACAGCGATACAGAAGGAAATTGGCTGGTTTAAGAATATATTAGAAGCAGCAATACTCTACTTATTGTGCCTGAGGCATGCCAAACGTGGAGCTAAGATCAATACAAAATAAAAGAAAAAGAAAATTCAATACCATCAGAGAGCAACTCCAGAAACAAACAAGGACTTTCTTTATCAATTAATTATTTTGCATCTCCAGCCAGCACATCTCCAAAGGTTAGGCATCTCCTTTTGCCTCTCATGGGACATCCAATTAACCTCCATTACATTTAGGAGCTTGTGGATACAAAAAGTGAGTTTGAGAGTGTTTTAAAGGTACAGGAGTTGTTCTTTACTTCTGCAAAGGACTGTGCATAGCTGGTGCATGGCACTCAAAGCAGGCCAGCCACCCAAGGCTGGCTGTTCCTCCACTGCATGGAGCTGTGGCTGCTGCACGACATCTTGGAGCAACAGCACTCGGGGAAAATTCTTCCCCTGGTGAAGCATGCAGCTATCACTGCTAAAATGCATTTCCTTTTTCTCAGCAAATGGATCTTCCTGTAGTGTTTGATGAGTGATTTGAATACACAACAGACACACTGTACTAATCATTCCCCAAAGGCTAAATATCCATCCTGAAGGTCAGGTTGGATAGGGCTCTGAGCAACCTGATCTAGTGAAAGATGACCCTGTTCAATGCAAAAGGGTTGGACTAGATGACCTTTAAAGGTTCCTTCCAGCCTGAACCATTCTATGATTCCATGAAACTCTGAACCTGACTGAGTTGCTGAGGTTAAGGTATGGCAGCTGCTGAGGCAACGAAAGAAAAAGAAGTGATTGAGCCATGTAGGTTTGTTTTCCAAGGCAAAATGACTGACCTTAGAGCTTGGTCACTGATGGTGGTTTTGGGCCTCAAGACCAAATTCAAGCTGATGTCAGCAAAGCAACAGTGAAAGAATTCCACATCCCTGTTACTTGTGTAATAATGTGGTATAACCACATTATGCCTTACAGAAGTGTATTTCATAAAACATCATATCAAAAAATACTAAGAAAAAATTGATGTAGTAAAACCTTTTTTCCACTAATGAAACTACAAACAATTCCAAAGAAAATTAAGACAGAATCAAGATTTCACTAAGTGGTGTGATATCAAATCATTATAAATGGTGTAAACCTAGTATAAACTGTTTTTCAACAAAATTCTAAGTAAAAATAAGAGAACAAAACCTCTAAAACTGCAGCATAATATTTATCTATACAAATATATTGGCTGGAAATAAATAATAATAACAAAAATTATGCTGCTTTAAGAAAGAAAAAGAATCGCTAAGAATTATTCCCTCAGTGTCTCCTCACGGGAGCAAATATAAGATTAATAATTTTAAACTTTTATGGCACAGAAAGAAATATAAATAAAATTTAAGTAATCCCTTTTTTTTTCCATATGAAGGATATCTAGGTAAAGAACAGTCTTTTTTTCACCCTCATTACACAGTAATGCTTCTTCCAGTCCATAAACAGCATACAACACCAAGCATACCATCATTAACCACAACCAACATGAGGTTTGAAGATTAAGGATTGTAACTCTATTCTGTGTCCTGCCATAATAGTAACAGAAGACAAGAAGAACAAGTCCAATAAAGCTAATGGAATTATTTTGACTTTAAACCAGTGTCAAAGGTTAGGGCTGGGTCGACCCCTAGATAAATGATGGACACTCTTAATTAACCCCTCTCTCTTCAAAAAGGAGAAGTGAAAGGGAATAAGGAAGAGAGATTACAGACTGGAAAACTAAAACAGCTTTAATGACAGTAGTAACAATGAAATTAATTATACACAAATTTATACAAAGCCAGTATCAAAATCAACCCCCTTGATGACAATTACATCACTGTCACCACTGATGCTATGGGCTGGCACTGAGAAGTCCCAGACTGGACTCAGCAGCAGATGGGAACTGGATTCAGGAGCTGGGTTCTGGAACTGGAATCAGGAATGGGTGGATTTGGATCAAAGGCAGAACAGATACAGTTCTCCTTGGAAGCTGGTCATTGATGCTTGTTCCTCGTGATCCCTCAGCTTTATACTGGTCATAGGCTGACTTCATTGGTCAATTTAGGGTCACCTGTCCCACCCACTTCTCCCTGCAGGTGCATCCTTTTACTCACTGCACCCTCAACACGATGCACAAGATGTAGCAGTGACCTGGGGCTTCCCAGGAACAAGTAGAAGCAGGAGTCTTTCTGCACACCCCAGCCCTCTGCAGTAACTCTAAACATGGAGCTTTGTCACTGCTAGAAGCAGAGACTGTCTATGAAAAAATGCTGCTAGCTTCAGAAAGTGCAGTTAGTTAGAAGACACTGAGTTGAAAAGTAAAATCAACAAACAGAATTAGCTCTGTTCTAGCTCAAACCAGGACAACCACTGAAAAAAAAAAAAAAAAAAAAAAAAAAGATTTAACAGTTTAAAAATCACCCATATTCTGCATTCTGTCCACAAGTTATGGTTTATTATCCTCAGCATAATGAATAAAAACTGGCTCTAATTATTCCCTGTCATACCTTTGACCTCCTGACTGGATCACTTGGTGAGAACTCATTGAAGTTTCTCCTCAGATGGAGCCCTATCATTTAGTCCTGTAGCTAAATGAGTTGCCCAGAAGCATCATGTATACCTCTCAATTATGAATCAGCATCTTCATATGGCTTTGGGCTCTCAAATGAGGGAAATGAATGAAACTACAGAATCAGAATGGCCTACAAAAAAAACGAGATTTTTTTTTCTTTTTTTTTATTCTTATGAATACATTGAGTAGACAGGTCAAGGATGAAAGCAATAGAAAGGTCCCTCATAATTATTATGTCATAATGGGAATACTCTTGGCCAGACACTAGCTTTTTCTTTACACCATAGCAAAGTCCAGGGATGCACTGGTTCCCCTACTTCCACCTCCTGGCGTCCAACAGAGAAAAGAGATTTGTAGCTTCTCGACTTGCCTACATTCCCAGAATCATCTTATTTAGATCTGAGCTTTTCTTCTCCCAGTCAATATTCAGTAGTGGCACTGGAAAGCAGCTCTCCTGATTGAAACCCTGCCTTAGACCTAGAAGTCAGGGTGAGCTTACAGTGGGGCTAGTGTGTATTTGAAGTTTCCTTTGATTCCTGCAGGATATCTGAACCTGGTCACTTTGTGAGGGAAACCGTATCACTGTGTTACCCAGACCACCAGTGGAATTATTCATCAAGGTCCTCTCTCCAGATGGAATAAACCCTTTGTGTACACTGGGCCTATGCATATTGCAAAAGTCAAAGCAGGGATAGAGATAAGTACAAGAATCAGAAAGAAAAAAGAAACTGAACTACCACACACTTTACAGATGCACATATCTTGAATACATTTTTGTGATTATTTAAAGTGAAATAATAAAAGGCTCTATACATAATATATTTGCCACATATCTGAAACCTGAATTTTCTTTTTTTTTTTCCCCACTTTTCTGTATCATCACATGTACCATTAGAAGATTTCACCATGCAAAGGGTTTGGAGAGTTGAAACTATCTCTGTCTTGTAAATATATCATAAGATTTTAGAAATTCTTATTTCCACGTCTTTCAAGTTTGGTTTTGGTATCTCCTAATCAAATGAAATAGTACACAGTAAATATGTAGAAATAAAGAACTACTTCAGATCCTTCATATCCCCAAGTGAGGTAGAAGCCTCTCATTGTTGGTAGTTGTATGAGGAAGAAATTACAGTTCTCAAAGTACTTATTTATTAGGTAGAAAAGCAGTAAGATTTAGTTAAAAATGTAAGTTGTTAATCTCTAGGAAATCCACAGACTATTTCAAGGGAATCATTCAGCTAAAATTGAAATGAGGTAGAATTAAAACATAATGCTTAAAAGTAAAGTATAAAAAAGCTTCCGTGCATGAGAGAAATAAGCTGGTCTTCTTCATAGGCATTGGTAGTAAGTACTGCTACGACGTCACAAAATATTTAGTGATAGTCTTCAAATTTTCAAACCAGTGTAACAGAAATAACTGAAGCAGACCCTGTGGTTCAACCAGCTGGGGAGGATACTCATTGCCTCATTTTTCACTTGATCTTTCTGGGAAGGTGATCTGAGAGAGAGTGAGAGATTAATAGTTTGAATTCTGAACATGAAATTGATATATTATGTGATAAACCAAAGCAGCCTCAAAAAGCGTAACCTGTGTTTCCATCAAAGCCCCATCTACCCAAAGAACTCCTCCATTTAATTCACCTATTTTATACATCACTTTGTAGCAATTTCCCCACCACACGTTATGCTCGTACCAAAACCATAAAAATTACAGCTCTATAAATTTAACACAGTTTCACTTTGCAACAGCATTGATATTAAGAAATGTTACTTTTTCTTCCCAAGTCTTCCTATGCTTCTTTTAATTTATCCTGCTTTTATTTATTTATTTTCTTTCCTTTTCTTTTCTATTTGGGTCAGTGTTCTTTTTGGCAATTGTAGCCATACGGCAGCAGAGGAAAAAGTCTCCCTTTTCAGAGAAAATGGAAGAATTCAGAGAGAACATCGTGAGGTATGACGATGAGGGAGGTGGCGAGGAGGACACGGAGGCCTTTGACATCTCAGCGCTGAGGACCCGCACCGTCCTGCGGGGACACAGACCTCGGAGGAAGGTGGCCACGGAAATCCACAGCCTGTACAGACAGTCCCTGCAGGTGGGCCCTGACAGTGCCATCTTCAGGCAGTTCATCTCGGAAAAGCTGGAGGAAGCAAACACAGATCCTCGCGTCCCTCCGTACGACTCCCTTCAGACCTACTCGTTTGAGGGGAGCGGCTCTTTGGCGGGATCCCTCAGCTCCTTGGGTTCAACCCTGTCAGATGCAGACCAGAATTATGACTACCTTACAGACTGGGGACCTCACTTCAGACACCTCGCAGGCATGTACACTTCCCAGAGAAGTGTGGGAGATTAGTTGCTCTTTGGCTTGGTGTTTTATTTTCCTAAATCTCAGCGACCAAAAACAACTGTGGATTTTTAAAAAAGGAGATCATCCCACATTTAAGCATGAAAAATAAAAGCTCAAGTTTGTTGGCTAGTTTTCTGGAAAGTCTTGGATGTAGAGATCTTTTGAAAAAACCACACCAGGCATGTCATAAAATTGGGATGGAGACTCTTGTTTGAGAATCTTGTGGTTATTTAGGTGTCTGCATGCAAACTGTGCTGCTTTGGATATCTAGGCCCTGTCCTGGATACCGAAACCTTGGGTCCTGCAGGTACAAAAGGAGGAATAGAAGCCATAAAATATGTTGTAAATATTCTGTCATCCATAAGCTTTAAACTGTTTCCAAAGTTAAACCACACTTTTGCTGTTGCAGTTGAATATATTCATTAACCAAAGTTAAACATGCATATTTGTATAGTGCTTCATTGTATAAATATACTTGAGTGAAAAAACAGAACTTAGATATCCTAATATAATTGTCAGAGCTGTTCACAGAATCATCTATTTATTTTTCTTAGGATGATAAAACTAAAACAAATGTCTTTTCCTGTCGGTGCAAAAATAAAAACCTATTACAACATCAGCAAGTATTTGCTGCCATTTTAGCTTTTAATGGAGCTATTGGAAAATGTATAAACCAATACTTAATTTAGCAAATAAGATAGAAAAAAAAAAAGAAATCTCTTTAAGTTAGAATCAATATCCAACATAAATACTGCAATCGACCACATTATTAATTACTGTACTTAGAACAAAATGCTGTCCAAATACAGGCATTTTTCCTTTTATTAAGAGTTTAAAGGATGACTGGTTTACCAGCACAGATTTATTTTTTTATTATGAAATATAAAATAATCTGGAGTAGTCAGTTTTATTAGAACAATATTAAGAATCTTTAAAATGTTAAGCTGATGGTTATAAAACTTTATGTATAACATAGATAATAAGATAATAAAATGTTTTAATGTTAACCCACTTCTGAAAATGATCCTTAATCATTCTACAAGACTCAAGTCAGACTTAATTAATTTCCTACTGTATTTTTCCCAAACATTCTATAGTTAATATAAATCTGTCTCAGAATATTTCTTCACTCATACCACTACCCCAGAGTTACTTTGGATCTCAGGGTCACCAAATATGTCCAAAATTATCTACCTGGTTTTTATAAACTTCTCTTCCATCAAGTACTTGTTTTACTGAAATGATCATGTAATCAACTAATACATTTCCACAGCTAAAATCTGGCATATGGATAAGGAAAATTATGCAGCAGGGTTGGGCTTTTTCTGTCCCTTTTTATTTTAAATAAGATTTTTGGTCATGGCTATGGGATTGCAGAGAGACAGGCAAAGCTCACAGATGGGGGAAAAAAAAAATTAAACAAACAACAAATAATAATAATAAAAGCATGTAACATACAAATTAAAACATTTCCTACAATTTCTGTTCATTGAAGAAAACTGAGGCTCTGTGGAAAGGTGCCAGTGCAGAGTTTAAATTCCTGTCAGTTCAAAATAAACCATGTGGAGGAGTTTGAAAGTCGTGAGAGACTCCAGTGGGAGGTCTGGTAAGGGCAGAGTGTTGTACAAATATCATAACTGGAAATATACAGGGAGGTCCTCTGAGCAGGTGCAAATGAAGCATCTGCTTCATCAGGAAAGAATGATTCTTGCCAGTCTCATGCTAAGACACCAGTATGAATGAGCAGCTACAAAACAGCTTTAAAAGATGTACAAGTAAAAACATTGTATTAATGACTGTAACTTTTGTGTTCAGTGGTTCTCAGATGTGAAAAAATATTTTTTATTACAAATAATATTATACATATTAGTAGTTTGCTCCATGGAGAGGAATAGAGAGAGACCAACTGTACATGAACTGTTTTATTTGAAGTGGTGAAAAGTACATTTTTCTGGTTAGGTCTATAGATTTATGCTGGTTATACACTACACAAATCCTTATTCCACACATGGTCCCAGTGACATTAATAGAATTCCCTGTGCTTTCAGATTCTATTTAGCAAAAAAAAAACAAAACAAAACAAACAAACAAACAAAAACAACAGTGTCTGATCCTTTCACAATCCAGGGATTTTGTCCATCTCTGTGGGAAAATATCCTTCAACACTCAACCATATTTGCACTTATCTTCTTGTTTCCTCTTTTTGCCATAAGGAAATTTAACAATAGTTAATTCTTGTAAGCAGTGCATGCCATTGTCTTATAATTTTTGTAAACAATTCACATCATTGTCAGTAACTTCTATTTGAAAGAGAATAATGGCTTAAAATGGATCTTAAATGATCTAAAGTTGAAAAGGCATTAACACTGTGTTTGCACAGCAAAGCAAAAGTCTTTTGCTCCAAAGTAAGAAGTTTTTCCTAGCTGTTAGTGGGTCACACCTTGTTAAATTCCTGGTATTCAATCTAAGTCTAACCTGACAATTTATTTCCACATGAGAAATGAATTGCTGAACTGACCCAGCAACTTCACATTTCTTTTAATCTACTGTACTTAATTTAGCTGAACAATGTCTGAAAAAAGGTTTTGTAGCAGTGTCTGCTTATTTGAAAGAAGTAAACATTTTGAGGAAGCCAAAATTAAACATAGAAGATATATCATAATAATTAAGAGTATGAAATTAATAAAGGGTAAATTTTAAGCCAGAGTTCCTGATGATAAGATCTATGAACCTGTGGAATAATTTTCCCAAGAGAATCTTCTGTTACGTTTAGCATCCAAAATTCTTTAGTAGCTAGGATTAGTTGAGCTATTGGCTGAAGTGAAAAGAGTAAGTATGGTACCAGGTAAACACATATTCAGCTGTTCATGATCTGCCTGAGGGAATATAAGGAAACCTTCTTGACTGGTCAAAGGAAGTATCATCATACATGCTCTATGAAAGCTTTGAGGAGATGTTCCTGTATATTTATTTTTCTGTAACATGGTAATGAGACAGGTTAAGAACCAATGAAATACCTGCCAAAAGACTGGTTTCCTGATTCTGTCCTCACTCATAGGGATTCAGACTGTTGTCACTGGGTTTATTATTTAAAGGCCAAGGAAACAAAGACTATGCATATATTAATAAATGTTTAACATTCAGATGTTTGCAGCTAAAAATAAAAGTACAAAACACTTGATAACACATTTCAGCTTCAGATTCATTGTGACTGGAAAAGGGTATTTTATTTATTGATTGACCCCAAATAAAATGTTTTCATTAGATTTTCATTTTGTATATCACAATGTAAGGTTTTTATGATTGTAACACGGAGAGGCAATCCTGCCTGCCACTGAGGATAATCTTAGTCTTTAATTCACATAATTTTCCTACTGCATTTTCTCACAGATACTGTCATTACACTCCTAGCTTTGCTTTCAAAATTTGCATTGGAAATGTGGTTGTTAACACTCATTCTTAACTGTATGGGGAAATCCTGACAGATGAGAGTAAAATATTTTTGAAAAGACAGTGTGCATTTTATGCTTCAAAGTCAGATCTAATATATGCTCTCTGAGGAGTAAAAATTGGAGGAGATTATGTAATTTTACATTCTGGCAAAGAATACATTTTACCCTTGATCCAGCATATGAACAAATAGAATAGAAGTTGTATGAAAAAATCAGTAGCTATTCATACAGTCTGTAAGATCTCTGTATGAGAAAACTTGTAAACCTATATTTTATAAAGAATAATAGAGTGGATTAATGTCTATATAAAAGAAAAAAAAACATTTTGCAACAGTAATTTGGATGCTCTCATATTTATTCAGAAAAAAATAAATTCTTCATATATAGGTCTATATCAACCTTGTGTCTCACACACAGAGACCAAAGAACAGTAAGTTTTAACTAGAGTGCCCAGAGAAAAACATACATACAGAGAGATTGTTTAGAATAGTAGGAAACAATTTATCCACAGCAAATAGATAATAGCAATAGTCAGACACATATATATAAAACTTAAGAGGATATCTGCCAGAAAAGGCAGTGAAACCTATGGCAAAAAAGAGCAAATACTAATAAATATAATTAGAAACCATCGCTACTTTACAAAACTCCAAAACCAGAAACCAGAACAGCATATCAATGGCATTAATTCCCCAGACATTTTAATTGTGATTTAGGTAATGCTTTAATAATACTAAAGTTTATAGTTTAACTCAAATAATCCACGTGTAGAGGTTCAAACAAGATTTGTTTGTAGAGAAATGATAACATCTACATACACATATCTGACCAAAAATATACAACAGGATTTATTGGATTAAAGCTTAAAAAGATGCAAACCTGCCCACAGATATTGATGCATTCTTTCTGACATGGCTATGAGTAAATTATTCACTGTCATCACAACTTCTTTGAAAAGAGACTTTACAAAGGACATGTTGCACAAGCTTTATAGTAGCTTGGGACCTGGAAGAAGAATGTTTATATATTGATTCTGTAAGCTTTACTTAGAAATGCCAAAAATATCCCCTATTATTAATAGGATACCTAATGTATCCTATTAATCTAAGCCAGAATTAGATGGTCTTGAAAACTGGAGAATACAAAACGGATAAAATGTAATGGTAAAAATAAACACAATACACTCTGGAAAAGATTTTTTTTTTTTTTTAATCAGCGGTTATATTGAGCACTTATCCAGTAAAGTAATTAAACAGGACAAGGATATTCTAGCTGCTAAAATAACTATAGACTGCCAACAAGATTCAGCCCAGAAAAGCCAAAAAATATATCAAATGTGAACAAAAGCTCTACTAGACAATACAATGGACAAAAGAAATGGTGACTGTGAAATGAGATTGAGATTAGACTACCTGTTTAATTACTTGACAGTTCATTTTCTTTCGTCAGATTCTGAACAGCCACACTAATATTATTTCTGAAAGCCAAACATTCATTTAACTATAATACAAAGGTAGTCCAAATAGTAATTATTATTAAAGTGTTTTTATAGGA